TCTGATGAATCTGACACTAAAACAACATATATTTCATGTGTTCATGTGATATGTAGTGACACATGTGAACTATACTATTACTTGAAGAAGCATAATCCTAGTAGTTTTCATAGCGTTCATTTCATTTTAGATGTCGGAGAAATCCAGTCAGTTCAGCACCCCCGATGACCATTTTCATACTGCTGATCCGATTGAGGAAAGGGTCCGTCTGTAAATCTTTTGTTTATTTTGTAAATTTTATCAAATTGATATATAGTTTTATTTGATGACATAGCTTTTAGACTTATCTTAGCTTCCTTTTTTTCCAGAATTCTAAATGCAAAGGTGTATGCAAAGGTAAAAAACTTGTGGATCTGGCTTTGACAGCTAAAGTTGTTAAACACATATTCTTAGGAATTTTTTTCTGTTTATCGTACTTGAATCATGGACCAATGCCTGGTATCTAGTTACGTTGTTTAATTTTAGAAAGAGAAGAAAGAAAGGAGGGAAACAAACTCGATATTAGTTTAGTGAATGTGTACTATGTAATAAAAAATGTATCATTTGCCCAGTGTCTCGAGATCACTGTGCAGGTATGATTCTGTAACAACTATGCAGTAATGTTTTCTTTCAGCAGTTTCCTGTTGATGACTTAACGAGTCGGTCGCAAACTTTTTACGAGGCGTTGAAACCCGCTGCTGTGCAGATTTTGTCGTTATCAAAGGTTTGCTCTTCTGTTTACTTCTATTTCTCTTTTATGTCCTTCATTCAACTCTAGGATATGCTTGATCTGCGTGCCGAACTAACAAAAAATTATGACTTCTTCCTGGAGAGTTTCAGCAAATTAGGTGAGCTGACTGGATCAGCGCTTGCAGACAAGATGAAACAAGTTAAAGACCATTATGACGCTGAGCTTGCCAAAGTTACCACAGAACAGCAGGTTAAATAATTGATTGATTGTGCTGATTTCGCTTATGATTTAGGTGACTTTGATTTTTATTTACAGAATTTCGTATCTGAGCTTCAACATCAAGTTGAAGATTATGGCAAACTTGAAGCTCTTCATCGGGAAGAAAAGGAAGCTATCGTCCGAGATCTGGCGTTGCAGCAGAGCGAAGTACAAAGGTATCCATCTTTTTGGTTGTCACTTTGAAAACCGTGTGATCACTAGTGATTTCGCTTATGTCTTTGTGTAATGTATGTGTATGGCCAACGATTACTTTTACACTATACCTTACAGTAGTCTTGGTAATTACATTGTAGGCAGAAGAGAATTTTGAGAATTTGATTATCTAAAGCAGGTTTAAATACCTTACAATGATTAACTATTAAAAGGGCTATGTTATTCTATCTAACATAACCCTATGCACACATTAAGGACCATTTCAGATGGTGTAGCTGTGACATTTGATCTCATTCTTTGAAAGTGTTTCCTTCAGCTGTTCAATTAAGGTTGGCCAGTGAGGCTTTGCGTCTGGAGGAGAAAGTGAAAGCAGTGAGAAGTGAAACGTATAAGGAAGGCATAATCGCTATGGAATTGGAGAAGAATCGGTTGAGCACTGAGTACGAGGAAGTTATCGAGGTTTTCTTTACTTTCTTACGTGCTATCCTATCTCCTTCGAAAGTTCAATCATTGTGTTTGTTCCTGTGTTTTGCTTATCGTCAGAACTTTTTTTGCAAGAGGAAAGATAATAACTTATTCAATCCTTTTCTTCAATCAAAGCAAAGGTTCTCTGCAACGATCAGTCTTCTTGCCTAACATTTTTTCTCCCATAATCGTTACCTGGTTGTCCAACCTTCATCATATTTGTTTTTTTCTACTTTTCTCAATTCATTGGTAAAAACTAAACTTTGTCTTTCAGGGTAAAGATGCTCAAATTCGACAACTCCAGAAAGAACTAGAAAAGAAAAACGCAGAAATCAATCGGCTCCAGTCCGATCCAGAGAGCGAAGCGTTCAGAAGAAACGTTATTGCAGAGATCCGCAATGAGCTTGAAAAAGAGTCCAAGGTCTTCGTTTCTGCTTTCCCTGGTATAAATGTTCATAATCGTTTGTTTCAGAGCAAATTAGAGCTGCTGACAAAAGGTATCACTCAAAAGAAGGATGAAGAATGCTCAAGGTTGAGAAAGGAGTTGGAGTATGAAATGAGGATTATGGAGATAGAAAAGGTAGGCTCACCTTATCTCCCTTGTTTTCCAATTCCACCTAGGAGCCACAGTCACATAAATACTTTAAATCTTTCAGAATTGCTCTTTGAAGTGGTTAGCTGCCGAACGCGATCGCCTTAGAGAGTACATCATCAATAAGCTACCTGAGGGAGAATCGGTATGCAATACTGTTGAAGAAGAGATTATGAATGCTGTGACGGCGGAACAAGGAGAATATAGTTAGTACTCATGCATAAAAGTTGTTGTTTCTTCCGCTCCAGTATTTATGCACTTCTTGCAGAGACGATTTATGGCTCGTCCACTGCGACACAGACAGATATCTCCTACCCGGGTGCATTTCTTCCTGCTGTTCTTCCTGTTATTGATGAAGCCACTTCCAGGTGAAGTAGACAAACGATACTCTACTTTTTTTCTAATCTACATATGTTGTATTTCTAATTTGTATACGTTCTAGTCAATACGCAGACATGAGGGAAAGTGTGTTTGCTGTTGAAAACGTTCCTATGGCTGTGGAAGAGTCTGTGTACGTTCTTTACTCAGATTTAGTGCTTTACTTCCATACATCTTGCTCTAGGTTTATACCTGGTGATGCGCCAGTTGCCGACACTGAACGTAAAGGGGTCGGCGTTCAAACTAGAATTGGTACGTATGCCGGTTTTATATTTCGTATGCATATGATAACGAGAAAGGCGCTTACACACTTCATGCTCTGGGACATTGAGTGCTTCACTCTTTATTAAAGCGGATTTTCTGAATGGTATTTCTAGCTTTTGTAGGACTGAGAGCTATGGATCGTATGGTAGCAGTTGAAGATATCGTTGAGGGATCTACCGTTTTGGTTATCTGGAACGATAGACACAATGCGTACATGTTGTTTAGGTGAGATTTACCATTCAAATTTGCACGCTCTCTGCAATCTCTAGTTCTTACATTCTTTTCATGGTTAAGTCATTATTATCTCATATTGTTTTTTGCTCTGAAACTGGTTTAGCTCCAACCAACACAGGCCACGCCAAAAAAATTAATTCTGGCTTTTTATAGCTCATCAACGTACAGCCATTTTGTCAAGGAATCATCAG